GGAACAGGGAGGAGGGCAATTATGCAACAGCTGGGCTTTCTGTTTTTTTCTCATAAGCACAAGGTACAGCACACAATTTACAGGAACAAGATAACGATGAGCCAATCAGCTCTTAATGATGAGGCAGTTAGATGTCTCTGCACAATAATGCCTGCTGAGGGTGAACAGCACAGATAAGGAGAACATATTGTAGCACACCCTGTACAAAATGAGCAAAACAACTGGCACTCACTGACCCATTATCGGGCCTCAGGTCTCTTCAAGAACACACAAATGTGATTTTTCTTTTGAAAGTGAGCATGTGTGGATGCGCTTCTACTCTGTCCTGTTTTTGTGATGATTCACTGTTCAGAGTGACTCAACAACAAACCACGGCAATGTGTACTGGGTAAATGCTGGTCACCAAGCAGTGCTAGTGTGAACAGTAAGATAAAAAATATCATTGTGGTGTCTAGATACAACTGCAGTGCATTGTTGTGGTTATTGTTTAAAGGAATCGTTGTACATTTTGTGAAATAGGCTTAACCACCTTTTCAGAGTGGTAATAAAGGATCAATAACGCATTCATGCTTGTCTGTTAAATATGAAGCTACGTCCAGCGGCCCATTAGCTTAGCTTAGCCTTACCCTGGCTAGCTTGTCAGAAAGACTTCCTAAAGTTTTTGCATCACTGTTAGAATAGGCAGCCAGTGGAGGCTCAGGGTGCATCCAGCCAAGAAAAAAGTGTTAAATAACATAACTGTGGTTTTTGCAGAGATTAAAAAACAAGAAATGTGTTTAATAGTCAAGTCTGCATCCAAATGCAGAGCAACGTTTAGCCAGATTTCTAGAAAATTCAGAAAAAAAGATATGAGATTGGGTACATCAAGACAAACAGTTGGTGGCATTATTTCTCCATTCAGGTTCCATAAAACCACTGCAGAAGATTATATAATTAAAAGAACACCAGTCGAACCTTAAACAGTGAAAAGCCACATTGGGAAAAGGGGTGGAAACATTGAATGTTTTTGTTCATATATTCAGTTGAAAAATATTTCAGTCACTTCTTCACCCCACAGAAGTCTGATGTTTGCATCTGCCACAATATTCTGTCTCAGTGAAAGGTGACTTTCACATCACATGCTTTATATTTCCATTGCACTTTGTCACATTTTGGTGTCCCAACGTTTTCTGCTCAGCCAATTACAAAAACATTTATCACCTTCTTTGTTTTGTTTTGCATGTACAAGGTCAAAATGTCTGTAAAAACCTGTATGTGTATGGAAACACACTCAGTGAGCTTTATTGGTGCTGCTATTGGCCAAATTTGTTGCCTTTTAACAGAATATATTATATTTATCATGCAGACATGAATGAGGGTACAATCTTCTCATTGATTCTCAGTGCACACATTTCCTTAAATGTCAAACTGTGTTTTTAAGTTCTTAGTATAGTGACAAAAATAGACTTTCTCTTTAGCTTTGTTCAGTGACATGTCATGTGTTTGCATCTCTAACATAAAAGCTCCAACTGACATTTTTTCTTTTAAAATACTTGGAACATTTACAACAGCAGAACTTCTTGGCACCACCATAGGGCATTCATAACAAAAGCCAACATGCAGAGTTTAATGTGGCATGTGGTTCTCAGAACTACAGGAGAAATGAATTGTGGTGTCATTCACGGAAACTACCCATGGTATCAGATCCATTTGAACCTCTTCAGGGAAACTGTGCGTTGTCGGAGTAGCCGCAGAAGAAAACCAGTGTGAGATTAAAGGATTAATCAAGAGTGACACAGCATTTTGAATTCCTGGGGCTGGTTTCCTTTGATAGCCTCTTTCTATGAATCTCTGAAATAAAAATACCTGCAGTGAGTTATACAAAGTCACTGCACAACTTTAATGTTGTATGTTCATGTACATATTTTGATGGATAAAGCTTTATGTGAGATAGATGAGCTGAAGCCTTGCACAAGCTGATTGGGGAACAGATATCAGGGAGAGGCTGAGGAGTGTGACCCCCACACATTGTGTGTGTGTGTGCACCAGGGGAGAGGTATTAGTAAAACTCTTGGGATGAGCTTGACTTAAGTAAACCACTTCTTCCACCACTGGTAGCTACTGTATTTTGTAATGTTAGTAACTAAGCACTGGTTGCTCCCCATCACCAGTGAAAAGCACATTTAATCCAGTAGAAATTTAGGGCACTTTTAGTATTTCTACTTTATGCTGCTTTCTTCTTCTCCTTTCTACTACTACTACTTCATTTCCAAGGCACATTCAGCACCTCTGCCTCTACTACATGTACCTGGCAGCTATTGGCATATAGAGTTCACATTTAAAACACAATATAAAAATAAATATAATGCCTTATTTTTGATTAAAATGGAAAACAACATTGCTTTCCAGGCTCTGGTTGCTCCCCTCCATCATTACAAGTTTTAAACCTAGAGACCAAGCAGTAGTCCTGACACAGGGACGACAGGGCCACAAAGATTAGATAAGACAGGATTTACCTTATTTGGAAATGTACTTTAGCGGTGCAGACTCTTTAACAACTTTGCTAATAATCAAATTACATACAAGCAGTTGATGAACACTGAACCTGAGGTTGCTGCGGATCTTGGGCTGTTTGTGTACACACTGTTTGTCTTCATGGCTTTAATCACACTAACAGGCTGCAGATGTCCTTTTTAATCTAAACATTTGAGTGGTGACAGTGACCAGCAGGCAGCAGCCTATCATGGCCCTGCTCTTTTGGATAGATAAGAGTTGTAGGTTTAATCAGCTGTGATGGTCCCGTGGGACACCCGGCCTCACCGCTAATCTTCCCTCAAGACAGCGCTGCTGCAACCCCGCCTAGGTCGAAAGGAAGATTTACACAACTGCAAATTGCATGGAGGTTGGAAATGGTGTTAATTCACTCTCTCCACTCTCATAATGTCATTTTCAGCCATAGTAGGCAGCTGTTTTCAGTCAATGTGCAGCAGATAGACACATTTAATGACCAGTGGGTGAACAGAGTGGAAACATGTAGCAGCTAAACAAACAGATATTGTACCTGGAAATTAGTGAAGACTAAAAACAGAGCTAAAAGGAGAGTGATGATTTGACTTAGTTTCCCAGGTTGTTAGAAACATGACTCCAAATGAATGGCAGTGTTGCTGTATATATGCTGGAATAGGTAATCAGATTACAAGATGGTTGTTTAGTGAGCAAACCATCTGTTATTTCAGGATAAGGATAACAAAAGTCAGACTAAAAGAACTCAACAATACCTTTTGTTGAAATTTTATATACATTCATGGGCTATACATTAATGTTTAGTGAAAAATCTTGACAGCCATTTAATGAATACTTTGTTGAAGTCTGTCATCCAGCACATCATCAGTTCTGAATTTTCACACTCCAATATTTTGTTTTATGACCAAATAGCTTTAAAACTAATTCCCACTGGCCTCAGCTGTACTTTGTGTTTTGTGCTAATTAGCTAATTAGATTGTTATTGTGGCAAACATTTCCTGCTAAACATCGCCATGTTCCTGCACTTGTAATAATAAAGAACCAAAAATATCCAAGCAAATGTTTTTGATTACTCACTTGCCTTGCTATTCTGCAAAATGCCAGAAGAAGCAGGTCAGCTGTTATTAGTAGCCTAACTTAAGTTTTAGTTTTAGGCACAGCTGCATAAGTCACACATATCATTATTGCTTACACACAACATCACTCATGTGTGATAAATAGTTTAAGTAAGCAGCAATACCACTTTATAATACGCTGTTACAAGTAGAAGTCCTGCATTCAAAATGTTACTTAAGTAAAAATACAAAAGTATTTGTATCAAAACATACTTAAAGTACCAAAAAGTAAAAGTAGTCATTATGTAATTCTGCACATTTCACATCAGTGTTTACCACATTTGATTATAATTATCGCTGCATTTTTGTGTTCATCACATTTAAGGATGCAACTGGTAAAAGTAGAACTTGAAGTACTACTGGGTACTTGTGAATTTCTTAGTGATGTTCAGTAAATTCTTATGATTATATATTGTTTTGTTTTACTGATCTGACTCTGAAAGGGAGCTGAAGCTATCAAATAAATGTAGTGGAGTGAAAAGTACAGCATTTTCCTCTGAAAGGTATTGAAGTAAAAGTATAAAGTAGCAGAAAATTAAAATACTCAAGTAAAGTACTAGTATGTTAATAGTGTGCTTAAGTACAGTACTTAAGTTAAAGTACTTAGTTACCTTCCACCATTGGCAGCTACATACTGTGTGAGGCTATGTGTGAATACGTCATTGAGAATTCTCCATTCTAGCCCTCTGGGGTGGTTTGTTTAACAGGGCTGAAATCCTGCTAATTTCGGTCTTTGCATAATCATGTGTACTGTCATTTTGCTCCTGCAGGTACCTATGTTCTCTGTTAGCTCCTTGGGTAAAAACACTCACCTAGCCATGACAGGTCACCTTGACAAACTCCACCTCATATGTTAACAATACACCCTCTAAATTATCTTCTTTGATAAATAATAGAAAAGATTCCGTGTTGTGGATGAATGAACAATTTTCTATTAATAATGAAGTTTGTTCTGTCTTTGCCATGCTTGAGTATCTCCCTGTTTGTAGTGGAAATGTTTTGAGCTCATTTTCTCTGCTGTAACAGTATATGAGCACCTTGTCTGGTTTTGTTGCCATCTGCCATCTTTTACCAGCCTGGATTCTGTTATCTCTTCATCTTTTTTCTGCACCCGCTGCTTTTCTACAAAGGTGTAAACAGGAACAGGAAACCCGCTAAGAAATGGGTGTACCCCTTGTGACCTAGTAAATACTATTTATGTCTGATCAGCTTCTTTTAAAGTTTATTGTAAATAGCATAAATAAAATCTATCCTGTACATGTACTGTAGGGTTTCACCTGGATTTGAAGTGCATTACAGTATTGACGTCCTATTTTTAACATGAGCTACACGGGGTCATAGTGACCTATTGTGATACTTGAAGCAATACAAAGGAGTCAAGTGTCATAGTTAAAAAATATTTATTGAAATCGTATAAAAATAGCTTCTAACATAATTTACAATTCTAATTTGAATAAATGAAAAAAAAATCCAAGCTGCAATCATGCAACCAGAAGTTTTCTCATTACCGCATCTCTCTCTCTCTCTCTCTCACACACACACACACCCAACATTCAGAACTCACTCACACCCACAGCAGACAACAGAGTAACAAAACCAGTTACCATCAGTAGATGTTCAATGTTTACATACATTAAGATGGAAGGGCTTTGGGGACTATTTACAGGCTATTTACATTACATACACAAACCTACACACACACACATCTGCTCTTTTAAAATTTCAAGCCATAAATATGGTCAAAAAAATTTCACCTCATCTTTCTCTTTTAAATAATCTGTGGGTCCTCCAGTGACTGTGGAATGAAATATAAACGTACAGCCAAAATTTGCTCATAAATAAATAAATAAACTCTGCAACAAAACTCTCAGAGTGTGAGGAAAAGGTCACAGTAATAATAAATATTGTTGTTATGTACAATTCTTGTCCCCACCGAGTTTTAAGACCTGTGTGAGGCACTGTGTAAGAGTAAAACAACTGAAGTGAAGAGCAGAGAATGTTGTATTTCGGTATGGCTGCATTGTGGTGTGCGTTCAGGTGGGTGTGAATGAGCGGTTGCCTAAGCCTTTGTGTTTGTATACAGTAGAACAAGAGAAGAGGAGGAAGCAGAGGTTGTCGAGGTGAATGCTGTAGTAATGAGAGTGAGGTATGTCCAGTGTATTTTTGTTTATGGTTTCTTTGCACAGGCTGCTGCTCAGGCTATGAGGTTACCTTGTTGCTAATGACATTGGAGTAGTATAAGCAGTGATAGTAGTGGTTGTAAATGGCATAGGCTTTCCTGATCTAGGCCCATGAGAGGAAAAACAACAATAAACAATATAAAGCCTTGTACAGAGTAAGGAACAAAAAGGCTGTCGAGAAACCTTTTTGTGTTTACAAATTCAAGTATTTTCAGGGTCCCCCAACGATCTCATGGAAGGCACTTTCTGAGAAACATGCCCATCGCCAGCATCTCTGCTCTGCCCGCTTCGTTGTGACAGAGTAAAAGCAGGACAGAGCTGAGCACGGTGCAGTGAGAGGTTACATAACTCGGACTCTCCTCTTGCCATTCAACAGAGCAGCAAGCACATGTTCTGTTTTTGCTCAACACAGGTGTCGTTGCATCAAGCGCGTGCCCTCCTGCAGACGGAAAAACACCCAACGCTTGTTCAGAGTCCAGTGTGAGGATGGTGTTCTGACACTGACCAGCAGCTGGGGCGGTGAGGGTGGAGAGGGTCGGGTGGTTTTGTCACCACCTTGGCCCACTGTGTCCAGTCCTTTACACCTTGCTCTAGCCTGTATTAGGACCATTGACCTGTGCGCCGCCCGCCCTCTCCTCTCTGCTTCAAGTCTATTACACAAGCCTTTTTAATAGTCTCTTGTGTCCGTGCAGTCCAGGTGGAGCTGTTTACCACCATCACCGAGCCACGGCCACTGGGGTGGGTGTGAAGGCTGTGGTCTCGTGGCTGATGCTGTGTAGCCTGATCTCTGTGCTTGCCTTGTCTGTCTGCACTGTGAATGGGACGACGGAGGAGGACGTGCTCTGCATCCATGAGTGGTTGATGATGTCCTCGAAGGACGGACGGTCAGCCGGTCGCAGAGACAGACACCACTTGATCAGTTGCTGGCATTCTGAAGGTAGAGGGGAAAGACAACAATTAGCATGAATATGCTGTACACACCAATGACCAAAAGGCTAGGATGTACACTGCAATGTGAATTTACCTGTGGAGATTCTCCTCCGGAAGGGTACCTGGCCTCTGATGATCTCCTCGTCATGTTCAAATGGGATATCCCCACACACCATGTCATAAAGCAAGACCCCCAGGGACCACACTGTGGCAGAGCGCCCATGATAGCGATGGTATTTGATCCATTCTGGTGGGCTGTACACTCTTGTACCTGTCAGACAGAAGGAAAGAAAAAGAGAAACACATCTTTAAAAACTGTAACCTCATTTAATAACACTACAGAAAAATGAACATGAATACAATGGAAATCTGAGCACTTATGTAATATCACCTGACTGATAATTGTTCATTATATGTGTGTTATTTTGTCCATGTGAAAATGAAAGAACGCAGACTTATCAGCTGAGCCTGATACTGACGCTCTTATTTAGGTTCAGGTGCCAGGGAGCATGACAGTCTGTGTGTGAGAGAGAGGAGTGTGTGGGAGGGGGAGTGGACATGTGACTTTGTTTACAAACTTTGAGTTGTAAAAATGCTACTTCCGTCCAATAGGCGGCGCCAAAACTAAGCCCATGCTGCTCAGCCTGTATTAATATGCTGCTGTGAGTGTGTGGGTGGAGGGGGGATGTCAGAAATGACACAATTCTGGAATTTCTGCAGGGGTCTGGGAGACGCATCATATGACTGAAACTGCGTTGCTGAAATTGGTATATTGTAACACTAACACCGAATCGACTAAATAAAAGATTAAAAATAGCAATGAAACCGTTGAGCATGTTTTGAACACTGGTGACTCACCATCAAAGTCTGTGTATATGGTGTCCTTGAGTAAGGCTCCTGATCCGAAGTCTATGAGCTTCATCTCTCCGGTACGCAGGTCGATCAGAATGTTCTCGTCCTTAATGTCCCGGTGCACCACACCGCAGTTGTGGCAGTGGCGCACGGCCTCCAGCACCTGGCGGAAAAAGCTCCGCGCCAGCTCCTCCGGCAAGGCACCTTTCTCCGTGATGAAGTCAAACAGGTCCTTGACGTTTTCGGGTCTCTCCATGACGATGATGAAGCTGTCTGGTCGCTCGAACCAGTCCAGCATTTTGATAACGCCGCGGAAACCTGTCCCGACTTTCTTCAAGAGTACGATCTCCATAGGGACCCTGGAGCCATTAGGCTGGAAAATACCGATAAATATCAATATTTATTACATATATTCATACGAAATTGATGTCTAAATAGGTATTTCGCTTTACTACATTTTCTTACAACAATATCATTTTCTATTGTATAGCCTAATATCATGTTAATTAAATCGATATTAATGTTGATTAGATTGTAAAACCGCTGTACAATTAGTTTCTTACCAGCTCTCCCCAGTCGGAGATTCTGTCCTTGGCTACATGTTTGACAGCAACCTAGGAAAGAAAAGAGGCGTCAAATGACATGACATAACACAAACAATAACACGTAAAGCAACTAGATTAAAATGTATTACAGTAATACCGACTGAGGTGTACTAACCGGAGCTCCGTCGGCTATCCTCGTACCGGAGTAGACGGTACCGAAGCCGCCGCTGCCCAGCACCGCGCCGACGTGATACAGCTTCTCGAAAGGTTCCTTCTCTTTCACTGAAAAGAAATGCATACACACATTATAGCTATTTGTATGTAAACACAGCCAGTAAATACCAGAAACTATGTCGTCTCCTCTGGAAATACCGCCACTTAAGGACACAATAATATGGCTGATATCATTGTAAATGAATGGTGGCGTCCTTGAAAATGAGTGTGTGTGGAGGGAGCCACAGCACGCGGGCTGCCAGCCATTGCTGCAGCCCCGTCCTCCATGACAACACGATGAAAAAAGGGCGTCTAACCTTGGTGAACCTGGAGCTGGATTTTCACCGGCATGTCCACGGTAGAGATGTGGGCCAGTGAGTTGAGCTTGGACAGCAGCATTCCTTTATTCACCACAGGATCGACGACGGGTGTCTTCTGCGTTTTGTTTTTGTTTATAACAGTAATTTTATTCCAATAGCACGGTCCACGTTGAAGGAATAGAAATGCGGTAAGGATCCTTTCCTCCGGATAGAAGAAAAACCGCTTGTGATCCAGGAGAATGTAGTCAAAAACCTAATCCTGGAGAGTGGATATCATTAAAAGCTACGCTTGTTCTCCGCAGTGTTTTGTAAACAGTTGGGTCAAATTAGCAACAAAATCAGATAAGGCAGTCCATAAAGCGATGCCTCCGTCAGACACCGGCTCTTGGAAACACTTTGAGGGGGTGAGACCGCTTATAAGGCGGTAGTAAGCGGGCGTTACAACAGGCTCTGACGTCAACCATGTATCCGCCTATTTCCGTTATATGCACCAATAGGATTGCAAATACGTGTTCCAAACTGCACGTCAATCACCGAATGAAAATAAGCCACCCTCATAACCGACAAGCCAGACACAGACGTGGCGGGAATCAGAACGCGCCAAAAAGGGGGGAGACTAAAGAAATAATTATGAATTCATCATGTCAGAGGGAAATGCAGATTCAGAGCCAAATGCTCCCCCTGTGTCCTCCCTTAACGGGAAACCTAGTCATAGAGGAGAAGATATGAACAGACACATAATGAGGATTATAGCCTATATATGTAAATATGTTCTGCTCTTTTCATTTATATTCTATTCACATTTGATAATAATACCGATGTTACTACGCTTTTAATTGTTCACTCTTCCTCACTTGTTGTGGCTGCCTTTCAGAACAGACTGCTGCATAGCTTAATTAGCGTTTTGCACGGGAGACAACCTGAGAACAGTTCATCAATTGCATTCCAGCTAGTTTAACCCCCTGTCATTTACCTGATTATTTTCACATTAAACACAGAGGTTTATTGGCTAAAGCAAAGTCCAGGACTATGGTCTTTATTTGAGTTGCCTGACAATGCCCCTCAAATGGCTGCGCATCAAAGCGTGCTGGGGAGAAAAGGCGCATTCCACTCATTCTTTCAAATTGGGTGGCCGCCTTTGCAGTCGTTCACAGGATGTGGGAAACTGCAGATAAAAAAGAGTTCCATTTACCCCACCGCTCCCTGCTCCTCCTCTCTCCGCCCTATTTTCCCCATGCATGTTAACCTATTGACTGAATGGTATGCTCTTAATGGACTTTTTGCAGCTGTACTATATCTAATAGCCTAATTATATAATTTTTATTAATAAAAGTCAGCTTTGTCTGCTATCCAGCTTTTAGCTCCCTTTACATTTTACACTAGTATGCATAAGCAAGTTTTTATCAAAATCCAACCATGGCATGGGACAACATGAGGAAATCTGCACACAAAAAATTAGGTTTACTATAAACCATCCTAGTCATAAAATACTTGCTATAAAAAAGTCAGTGGTTACTCTCACCGAAACTGAATGAGAATCAGTGGAGTAGACGTGTTCAGCCTTGGGCACATTCCTTTAATACCATAGCGATATGCAAATTGGGTGCTGAAATACGTAGCTTCTGAATATTACATGTCAGTCATGATAATTAAACATGTTAAAATAATGGAACAGATTATTACTCTGCAACAAAGTACACTTTGTTTTTTATCATATCTTAACAAACTACTGAGACTATTCATATTATTGAAATTACAGCTTGTTACAGTGAAAACACTATAGTAATAGTAGGGTAAGCAGTGGTTCACAGAGGCGTGTGCACCGTGTTCATGCTCAGTCAGGGCCACCGGAGAGGTGTGTGTAAACAGAGAGGTCCAAAGCAATGAGTGTCACAGTGACCACAGCTTTATGAAACCAGTGAGCACATCACTCTGTGGCTGCACATATCCCTGCTTGCATGATCAGCAGCAGGGCTCAAATGACAGCCATCTAGCTCCATCTGTCAGAAGGACAGATCATCAGTTTGGGGCCAGCTGCTCTGTGAAGTCTCCAGGAGTCTCAGTTTTCTCTGAGGATGTGTTTATTTTAAAGCAGAAGATGCTAGTGTTTTTCGTTAATGGCAATGATCACCAAGATTTACCCTGACCTGGGGAGTCTTGATGAACTTTTTTCTCAAGTTTTAGCATTTACATATGGCCCTGCACTGCACACTGGCACATTAGAGGCCACAAAGGATAAAAACAAAACATTTGGCTTTACATAATACTGTTATGAATTACTTCCTCTTTCCAGATAAATAGAAATTCCGCCTTTTAGAAAGTTTCACAACAGCAGATTCTATTTCTGCCCACTGGAATAAATGTACTGAATCAGTGACACTGTTTGTTTTGAAATGTATTTTTTTGTCATTTGATAGTAATATTGACAATGTTTGTAAGACCACGAAATGTTACCTTCCATATGCATTTGGAACAATAACAGATATTCCTATAAATAATGTTTATTAACCACTGGGCTGTTAAGGATCTTAAAATAAATTTTTTTTCTTCGTGCTCATTTCTAGAAGACAATTCTAATGGTGAAATTAACTGTGCATCACTACATAATGTATACACATTATCTACTGTAGGCAGAACATGTTCCACTTAATCTTGATATTGTAATTTTTTGTGCAATGTTGTGTTTGTGAAATGTGGAACTTCCCATAAACTATTTTCAGGACACCCTTGACATTTTATTCACATCCACCCTTCATCACAAAGTTTTAGCCCCTTCCAGGAGCAGATTCACTTTCCCCTGTGTGACTTCACAGAGTAAAGTCCCTGCAGCCTTCCTCTGCCTGGTGGTTTCTCTACCTCTTTAACTCTTCTCTGTCATCCTGGGTTTCATGTTCAAAACACTTGTTCGTCTATCAGTCATGATAGACGATCACCTCTTCAGCTGTCCTCGCATCCCACCTACTGGCCCTCAGTAAGTGGCAAGAAAAATATTTATGCAGGTGAGGGAGACAAGCGTAGGTTTGCAGAGGGTGTTTGATGGCTCTGGGCATCTCCATTGGATTGAACAATAGATAATGGATAGAACATGGAAATATGCTTGAACATGGCCTTTAAAATCACCCACGACAAGACTTGTACCTATTGTAAAGAATTGCTTTAGCTAGTTAAGGTAAAACTGCACTGGGCTTTCTCAATCAACCATTTAATATTAGTGATAATACTGATTAATGTTAGTAAGGATGCACAGAGAGATGATGCTGTGAAGGCTTGGTCATGGTTTCTCCGTGCCCTCGGATGGCCTGCCCCACTGTTCTAGGCAAACTACAGTTTGATGTACGCAGACACGTATCACACATGCGTAGTAGAAAACAGAATGATGGCCTCCTGACCACAAGAAGCTCTTTTGTTTGTTGTACTTGGCTGTGCAAACACTTAGCAAGGAGGATGGAAAATAAACAGTATACAGTACATCCACAGTACACAAATTGAGCATCTAGCTGTCTTGTCTATTGCATGTGCAGTCAGTATGCTTTCAGTGTAGATGGTCTGTGCAGACTCAAATTTTGGGCTGCATGCAAATATTGGCTCAGAGTCTGTGCAACCCCTCTTGGCAGGTGACAACATTCCCTTCATACAGACCCGCACAGACTCCTGCAGGCACAGGTGCATGAACTGGCCTTCAAGGGTTAATGGACATTATGTGTAATGGTTTTTAAACTTCACTTGCAGCCTTGTCATTTATGACAGTACCTTTAGAGTGTACAATAAACCCAACTCAGCCCTACAGATGTGTAAATATTCTCAACTAAAAGATAATTGATATTTTTATGTTACAATTGCTTGAAGCTGTGTGAGCCTATAATGGACTGGAATAACCTTTCTACTGTAACAATGGTAAAGCAGATAATTAAATGGATTGGTTTGAATGACAAACATTTTTGGACCATTTCAGAGCAGTAATTAGCCTTCATACATGCATTAGGATAATGCATGTATAACAACCTTTGTATGGATTTTTAATAGAAAATAGGTTACATTCATCAAAGTGAAGCTTTTATGACTGTGAAAAGGCTGTTTCACATGGGCATAATAGATGAAACCATTAAGCCATCATCTTCTCAAGCGCTAATGTTAAATCACTCAAAAGTCTTTGTATGCTCTTCACTGCCAGCCTCCCATCCTGGATATGTGGTGGCCAGTGCAGTCTGCAGAATTTGGATGAAGCCAGGTGGTGTTGTGTGTGCCTTCACAGTGACTGACAGAGACTACCCCATAATTAGAGAAGGGTCATAATACTGCCCTGCAGCCTAGCAGGAGAAGGAGCCTTGCTCCTCCCAGACAAACAAAGCCTGCCCATGTTAGTTATGTTGACTGGGTTGCCAGACAATGAACCCCACAGGGTTATCATTTCTTATTACTGTATACCTGACAGTCAGGAATTCATCCATGAAGGCAGGCTTATACACATGCAGAGTCATCAGCAGTGAAACAAACATTTTAACTGGTTCTGGTCAAGAGCTGGTTTGACATTCAAGCTGTAACTGATTGTTACCTCACCCGCCTTCTCGCCACTGTCCTCATTGCATAAATGTGTCTGAGGACAAGGTTGTGGTTGGCAGTTGTCCACCCTGAGAGCAGGTTACCCCATGCTGACACACAAATCAACACACACACACTGAAACATTTTCTGCTAAGCTTTCAAATTAGCTGTAACATCTTTTTAACTCTCCCCAAATAAGGAGAGCATCAACATGTGTGATGGTTTGTGTGTGTGTGTGTGTGTACATGTGTGCATGGGGTGCTTGATGGATGAGGCAGCAAGCGTAGTAGGAAGAGTGAATTATTTTTAGAGGTGTCTTAATGGAAGAAGAAATAGCTGTGGTGGGTAACTTCTGGTGTGGCCTGACCTCTCCTCAGGTAGCCTCTCACCCCCACCCCACCCCCTCGCCTCAGGTTCTTTTAGGTCTTGAGTGGCAGGGCCATGGGAAAAAGCTCCAGTGAACATCAAAGCACCACACAGGCCGGTGGAGTAGGCTAAAGGTCATTGCAGGTCAACTTTCACATCAGCGCTTAGGGTCAGGGGTTATTAACATGGTTGTCCAGGGTCATTCAGACTGTTCTTCCAGGAAACTATCCCCTCTTGTCTCATTAAGGGGTTTGGCTACTGAAGAGACTATGCAACATTTGTTTATGTCTATTGTTGTGGTTTTTAAGGCGGAGTGGGTATAACACCTGAGAGAAGAGGCAAATGTTTTAATGTAGTTAGAATAATAGGACTGTTGTCAGTTTTAGTCCATATGGAGGTTTGTATTACAGGACATAATGCTTCCTAATTTATCCATTTACTCCTAATTTATCAGATTTGTACCTAGATGTATTATGAAAAGCTTTGTAAAACACAG